CTATGGACCAGACACGAATTATTGCTGTAGTCAACAGCAGGTGAATAACAACATTACAGTACCAAGCATCATAGCAAGAGGCAGTAATTAATGTCACCTTTTCAAGAAATACAGGTCATTTTATACTAGTATCAACATCAGCTTCTCCCCAGTGCATCTTATGTCAAACAAATGTAAGTGCATTATTTTGTGCTTTGCTTCTTTTTTTTTTTTTTCCTTGTTCACTTCCTTTCTTGCTTTTTATAGGTTGCAGAGTTAATATTGCTTAATAGACTGAAAACAATCAGGAAGCACTTCATCATATCCGGGACGATCACGTTTGCTGTATGGTTTTGGCAAAGTGAAGCTTGCTTGGTATTCCAGCTCCCCAGCCAGCTAACCAGGGCTGACCCATGTTTTTTGGCAGGTGGGCCACAGCCGCTACACATCAACTATCTGCACAAATCGCTATCATTGGGCTGCTATTTATCTTGCTGATGCCATGTCCTGCCTCAGGCCAATGACTCTGCCTGTCTATTCACTCTCGTTACTCTCTATGCAAAACACTGAAGGCCATAAGCTCCATGATACACATGCTGTACAGAGAATAAATACGTCAGAAATTGAGACATTCCCGAAACGTCTATAACTGCTACTGACATCCCAAACCGGGACATTCAGATGTTTCCATGCAGAAAATTGGAGTTGGGGGTGTGGTGGTATTTGCTAAAGGAGTCTGACATAAAGAGAGGAATTGATTGAAGTGCTGTGTTCAGCACGGTCTGCTATCTTGGAGGAGCACGACATACAGGTGCAGCACTGCAGCCTGCTCTAGTTGCTGCAGACCACAGATCTTCTAATAAGAAAATCCAGCCCCTGGTAAGCTCCAGCATCCTCAGACTTCAGTGCGTATGAGGACCAGCTGCAAACTGCATGCAAGTAGGGGACTGCATCTTCTAGGCAGCAGAGAGATCAGATAAGCTTGACACATGCATACATACCTTCATCCCACTTGAGTAGCTTGGTCATCTCACATACCACCATGGTTATCTTTAATGGTTACTAACCTGCGTACATTAACATGTGCATCCTTTTCTGTTGTACAGCGCTGTGGTTACTGCCTTTGCTCAACTTCTTCCATTTCAAGGGAAGCAAGTGACCCTGCGTTATATGAATCATTGTTCAGACTGCCCTTTCTTTCCTTCTTTCTTTCATCTGGCACCATTAACACATTACAAGAGGAGCATGCATCTGCACACATGAGCACTACACTATGGCACAGATGCTGGGCAGAGTGCCACACAGTACATAAAGAGGTTTCTACTGCATTGCTGAGTATTATGAAGAGCTGGATGAAGACTGCTGGAGACCCATAGGATGAAAGTGCTCTGGGCCAACTCCTGGTGTAACTCAGAAAGCAAACAATCCCCAAGCTGGCTAGAAAACAATGCAAAAAGACAGGCACCGATGTAATCTTATAGTTTCATAGATTTAGGGTCGGAAGGGACCTAGTAGATCTAGCCCAACCCCCTGCCAGGGCGGGAGAACAACAAAACCCCAAAACAAAAACGGGACTCAAATGAGTCCAGCCAGGTAGGCATCCAGCCACTTCTTAAAGACCCCCAGGGTAGGGGCCAGCACCACTTCCCTTGGAAGTTGGTTCCAGCTCCTAGCCGCCCTAACTGTGAAGTAGTTTTTGCGGATGTCCAATCTATACCTCCTCTCCATCAACTTGTGCCCATTACTCCTTGTTATGCCAGCGGGCGCTAGGGGAAACAGCGTCTCCCCCAAACCCTTCTGGTCCCCCCTAGTGAGTTTATAGACGGTCACCAGGTCCCCCCTCAGCCTTCTCTTGTGGAGGCTGAATAGGTTCAGGTCCCGCAGTCTCTCACTGTAGGGTCTGCCCTGTTGTCCCCGGATCATGCGGGTGGCCCTCCTCTGGACCCTCTCCATGTTGTCCACATCCCTCTTGAAATGGGGCGCACAGAACTGGACACAATACTCCAGCTGTGGCCTGACCAGCGTCGCGTAGAGGGGGAGGATCACCTCCTTGGCTCTACTCGAGATGCACCTGTGGATGCACGACAAGGTCCGGTTAGCCCTGCCAACCATGACCTCGCATTGTCGGCCCATGTTCATCTTGGAGTCAATAATGACTCCAAGATCTCTTTCTGCCTCCGTGCTCTCAAGTAGGGAGTTCCCCATTGTGTAAGTGTGCTGCTGGTTCCTACTGCCCAAGTGCAGCACCCTGCACTTGTCCGTATTGAAACGCATCCTGTTCCTGTTAGCCCACCCCTGTAACCTATCCAGATCCCTCTGCAATCTCTCACTCCCTGCTAGCGTGCTCACCTCCCCCCAAATTTTGGTGTCATCAGCGAATTTAAACAGGTTACTTTCCACCCCATCATCTAGATCGCTGATGAAGAAATTGAACAGCGCAGGCCCCAGGACCGAGCCCTGGGGGACTCCGCTACCCACCTCCCCCCAGGTCGAGTATGACCCATCCACCACCACCCTCTGAGTGCGACCCTTCAGCCAATCTGCAATCCATCTGACTGTGTAGGCATCTATGCCACAGTCGCCTGGTTTTTTAACTAGGATGGGGTGAGAGATGGTGTCAAAGGCTTAACGGTGTCAAAGGCCTTGACAGTGTCAAATCTAACTCCTGTCCTCCCCCAAGATAGCAACATTGATTGCATTGATGCCAATATACAGCAAGCTGTGCAAGCACAGACATGGGATAGCACAGCAAACAGCCAGAAGAGCTAAGCAAATAAAGGAGACCATCAAAAATGCCCTGAGCTCCCTTAACCCCCAACGCCAAAAGTACCATAAGAGAAGGTGCAGAACAGACCGCAAGCCCAGCCAGAGTCCCCCCCGTCAACAAAACGCTGCTGACTTGGATGGAAGCAGGACTGGGCAGTGGTTTCAAGGATTTTTCATAACCAGATGTTCATGCGACAGACGCAGCATTGATTAAAAACCATGTGAACCTGCCACTGCAATGCCTGACATTTTGTTCTCCATCTTTCCTTACCACTAGATTCACAGTTGATTTCTGAACACTAACTGGCACGCTCAAGGTTTCCTCGTGGAGAGCCAAGTTGGCTCTCCAAGTCCAATCATTGATTGATTTAAATATTTCCAGTGCAGCATACAAGGAGAACGGGCAGTTCTTGTTTCCTCCACAGGCACCAGGCCACACTCCAATTTCCTATAAATATCACCCCAAAACTCTCTCCTATGTCACACTTCAGTCAGTGCTAGTCCAGGAAGACTACTACTAGAATTTAAGGCACTTCATTCTGAATGAGATATGCTTTTCTGCCACTTGCAAGTTAAATTGTAGGCTGCTATAGAGAAATCCATTCAATCCGTCTGGCTTGTAACACCACCACATATACCATCTTTGTAAAAACAAGTAGGCTTGATATAATACAAGTATAACTACTGGTATTGCATAGGACTACACTTGAGTAGATAATGCACCAAAACTACTTTTACAACATTGTTGCATGTTAAAAAAAATTAATAACATTGTTATCAAGTAACAGTTATTTGCAGATACAGTAATTTGCTCTGTTTTTAGACCAGCCACATTGCTGAAGTAAAACACCAATTACTAGAACGGGCATATTAACTACATAGTTATCAAGTTCTCAAGCATATTACTATTCTCTCTGTATCACTAAAAATAAATATGTAAGTTCAGTTTCTCTACAGAGGTGTGCTTTGTTTCCTAGTCTAAATCTGTGCTATACCTTTACTGTGTTTAAAAACATTTCCAATGTGAGACTGTAATATACAAAATATTCTTAAAATCTCTCTTAAAACACAGGACCCTGCATAAAAGCTTCCTTTCAAGTGTTTGCAAAGAATGCAGAAAACTTCCAGTGAGTTTTAAAAACATTGCAATATTAAGAGGCAAAATTCCTAAAAATGAAATACAAATATATTTAAAACAAAAAAATGAAGATAACTGAAGAATCCATGCAAATCAAAATAAACTGTACAACACCATTTTAAAAAAAAGTAAAGCCGATTAGAAATGTACAACAAGATGTGCCCCCTTGATAAAATGCATTGAATTTTGTCTGAAAAAATGTGTACCAGCTATACAGTGCTCCTTCATGCTTTATTGTTGATAAACTGTTATAAATCTCTTTTCCAAAATAAAAGCCTCAGAAAAAAAAGGAACCGTGACCGGAAAAAAAAAGCCATTCAGTTGAGCGTAAAAATAACAGCACTCCAAGAAATGGAGACAATTACATCTCCCTGCATTCTCTCTCCTTTTTTAGCAACAATAATCAGGAACATTTGATATCAGAATCAACACAATCAGGATGCATTAAACACTTTTGAGTGGAACAGTAATATTTTTAAACACGTTGTGATATAAAGACTAAACTAACTTTGAAGGACACTGTATCTTTAAGGCAGCACTATCAAATCAACACAACATGATTACGGAGTGGATCATTTTTTGGTTTCTTTACATTCTTTTTTTTTTTTTTTTTTTAAACTTTACATTGTGTTTCCAAGCAAACAGGCTGCATTACACTGATACCGAAACTCCCCCCTGAATAGAAACAGCCCCTTGATTTGTAATTCTATTGCTTGAGTAGATTCGAGCAGTTCAAAGTTCTCGGCGAATCCAGTTCACAGACACTGTACACGTGTTGTACAATATTTTGGAGGCATTGGTAGTTTTAAAATAGAATATACAAGTCTGTTCACAAAATCCTAAAAAAGAAATCGTGTGTGTGTGTGTGTGTGTGTGTGTGTGTGTG